GAAACTCTGACTAAGGGTGGAGGCGTGAATATAGAAATTAAGTATTATGCTTATTTCAGCAAGGCAACCAACTGCTGTTATTACTGAGGGTAAAAGAAAGATAAGAGTAAGTGGGAGCAGACTCACTCAAGTTAGAGAAAAAGCAAGACGGGACAAAGGAGCGGGAAATATTAGTAAACATAAACCAAGTGACCTGATTGTCGTCTACACAGTGTTCTGCCAGGAGTGACCCTCTGAGAGGCCTGCCTGGGCAACCAGTCAAGTGCAGTTACTGCTGAGGCCACACAGTCATTCTGCCACTGGAGGGAGTCTGTTCACATAGCCTTTGATGAGACTTTCCCTCTAAAACTTCTTGGTCTACTACAGAAATTGAATAGAGCTCCCAGCAAGAGTAAGAATTGGTTTAACATAGCTGATGGTTTTCTTGCTCTTGTCTGCTTCCTTTAGCTTTTATTTAGTCATGTAGTTCTTTGCTCACTAATGAAAATTTACAGCACCCTCACTGTAGTATCTGAGGCAAAGAAATGAATACAGAGACATAGGACACAGAACAGAGCAGCTGTTAGAAGAGGGCATGAAAAAAAATATTGTCAAGCAAGGGCGGGGGGAGCTGAGGCAGACACTTGTTCAAAGTGTGTGTCCAGGTCACAAGGCACAGGGAAATAAGCCACAGATGTGAACTAGAAGCTCAGAACAGCTTCTAGGACTATGAGTGACAAGTTGGAATGGTTGCTGAGCAGAGGGTCAGAATACTGCCGATGTCATTCTCTTCAATTTCCTCTTAAGATTCAGAATTTATTCAGAATAATTCCTCATAAAATGCTTTTCTAAACAGCACACAACTGAATTACTAACAGGGATAGAAATATTGGCTACAAAAGAGAGGCTAAAAAATAGTACCTTCAATTCAAGAGTTATGAAGAAGATAACATTCCACTCCCAAGAATTTTTCTCCATTTTGCAATAAGAATTGTGGCCTATGCTATATAATGTTTCAATCTACATTTCAAAAATCATATATGATTTTTACTATGCCTGTTTTTCATGAGGGTGCCTTGGGCTAAAACAGGTTAAGTAACTTGCCCAAGGTTACAGGACTGTCAGGAGCCAGCACGCTAATCTGGCCATCTAATCTGCAATGGTATTACTGCTATTCTATACTGCACGTCAGTGGGACTGAGCCGTGATTACCTCACCTTCATGTGATCGAGACATTAAAGGCACACGTCACAGGTGTTCATTTCAGGCATTTGCTTGCTCCAGAGGTGTTACCCAGGGTATCTAATGTGGACTGTGCCATTATTCATTTGGATTACTTTAAGCTCCCAATGTTATGATGTGTTTAAGTCACATATCCAAAGCATAAAAGAATGTTTCAGCTCCTTCTAAAACTTAAGTAAATAAGATTTCTTAAAGGAATCTTTATTTTGAATATATAAAGAAGAACCCCCTTCCCTTTCTCCACAGAACTACAAATAGAAACTGTAGTTTCCTTAAGTTGTGTTCACTTGTTAAGACGCATAATAAACCCCATACACCAAATCTAGAGAGCCACAAAACGACCTATTCAGAGAGATAATGACTGTTAAAGACAGAAAACTTTGGGGAGGATATGCATTAATATTACTAAAAAAAATCAGTCTTTCCTACTTCTCTATAACAACAATACAGGAGTACATATCTGTGTGATAAAAAGACAATGAGATTCAGAACTGATACAGAATTTTGTATAAGGGTCGGTGAGTTATTTTTTTTTTCTTGTCAAAGGAGGGTAGGCACCTCATGCAGCTATAGGAAGAAACAAACTAAAAATGGATTCCCATCTTTCTAATATTTTCAGATGAAACCTGGATGTCTTTCTTTCCATTAAAAAATCATTGTGAAGCAACATGCTGTATCAATAATGAGCTCACCAGAGCACTCTAGAGCTAGGAGAAGAAGCGCTTGCCTGCTTGGGGGATTAACAGAAGCCTGCAGAGCTACTGTGCTCATTCCAATAGTTTCCTAATAGAATGCTGCCTAAAATCCTCATTCTGAACTACAGTGATTAGCACTCGGGCAGGAACCATATACTAGCAACAAAGCAAACATGCCTGGGAAAGACTACTCACAAGGTAATACGCATGTGTATTTACAGGAACCCTTTGGCTTTATTAAAAACCCAATGCATGACTATTTGAACTCTGATATTCTTCCAAGTTTACTCACTTTTTTGCAAAATAAAGAAATAAAAGAAAATGAGGTGAGAAGATGCTATCAATCAGCATAAACTACAGTTTATAGGAAGACCAGCAACAGACGAAGCATAAAAGAGGAGAGCCAAAGAAATGAGAGACAGGTCGTTATACACCAGGAGCCAAACTTGTGCTTCATGCAACATGATACAATTCAAAACATCTGCAGGTAGAACGGAAAGCACATTAGCAACCCTACTAGATATATCTATTGCATTTCCAAGGTGTTTCATTCCATTTCTTACCAAATTAACAAGGGCAAAGTGAAATGATTAAAAAGTAAACCACAAACAAAGCAATATACCCCATGATCATAAAATGAAACTACAGCTCTATGGACCTAAAGTAAAAATATACCTTCAGCTACAAATGCTGCCATAACCTTGCCTTTCTACTTCATAGTTGATGGAAATGAGGCGGTGAGAGCTGAGGAGGGGGATGTGAGCCAAGGGCAGGGAGCTGTGTATTGCAACAGGAAACTGCTAAGGAAGGTCTAGTTAACAGATTTAGTACAGCACATTACACAACTCTTCTACAAAAAGTGTCATTCCCTATAAGTTATTCCCATGAAGCCAACTAACTGATTAGAAATTGCCATATACTGGAACAGGGTCACAAAGGGGAGAGGGAGACAAGAATTTGACAACCTCTCTATGGAATTTCTCCATTTTTTTTTTTACACATTTTCCATGGCATGGTTCTTTGTGTTTCTTGGTTTCAATTATTTTACAAAATGAAACCTGATTAGTCCAGCATAAATCCATCAGAGGACTACAAATAATAATTGTCATAGCTATTGCTTGATCCCAGCATCTCCCTCAATTAAATGTTACATAATTTGGTCACTTTGCAGGATTAATAATGTCAACCGAGATGCTAAAAATGGACCCGAAGAGCTACTATTCTAGAACAGACTATAGTAAAAGCAGTGTTAACTTGTACACCGTACATTAGTGACTCTGAACTTCATTAAACAAATATTTCCCTAAAAGCTATAATGAACACAGTGAATGCAATTTAAAACACCGAAATTACTGAAGTTGGAGGAACAACACTGAGTTATCTGGTCCCACTTACTATTCGAATGAGCATGTATAAATCACGGAACTAAATAAATATCAAAGCTACTTTCACCTCTAAAACCAATCTGAAAAAATAAAAATAGCTGCAGTTTAGGAAGGTAACATTATTAATGACATCTACCGTTAAAGAAAATATAAGTAGCCTTTACCACAATATTTATTTACTCTCACCACATCTCTCTTAGAAGCTAATGTTTGTTGGGTTCAAAGCGTTTGAATTTTGGTTTCAAAATTATTAAAAGTAAATTCATATTAACAATAACAAATGTATTAGTGAACAGGACTTTAGCTCTCACGCTACCTAAATGTTTAAAATATCAACGCCTAAACCGGTTATTAGCATTTAAATGCCTTAAAAAACAAGATCTTTGTTTCCTATACGGGTTACGGTGTTAAATATTATGACCTTACTGTATACCAAATAATATCTCTCATAACTTTTCTTTAAAACGCTTAATAGCCATTATTCACATACAGTTAAACAAAATTTCAATGATAGTCAAGTGTTTCCATGTCAACTGATTTTCAACTGTGTTATATGCAGAATTTTACAATTATCTGGCCAATCAGCAATCAGACGACTTCTTTACAAATGAAGTTTTATTCCAAATCACTGCAACAACACTGATCTTCCAACTAGTCCAGCACACCGCTCTGGGCCCACACTGCACTTTAACTCTCGGACCTGTGATCAATCATATTTTTTCCGGAGGCTGCCAACTTTAACAATAGAGTACCGACACATCAACACACAATGGTACGTGCTCCACACACACTGAATCCCAGCAGATGTAGAGGACCCAGTCCTGCACAGATTTTTTTTTTTTTTTTTTTTTTGACATTCTCTGAATCGCTCGCTGCCGAGAGCCAGGAACCTAGTGTCTGTCCTTGGTGCTGAAACGCAGCTTTTCCGCCCGCCGACTAAAACACTATGAGGCTCACCCCAGGTAGACACTTGCCGGGGTAGGAGGTTTGCACCGGAATGGAGAAGTTTCTGGTCAGGGAAACCTATCTAGCCTTTCCGGTGGCGGTTGTGCCGGGAGATCCAGGACCTGCCTGCTGCAGAAATAGGCAGCACCGGGCCGCGGACCCGAGAGGCGCCCTCTCCACAGCGGAGCCCTCTCGCGCGGATCCGAACGGCTCCCTCTTCCCAGTGAAGCCCTCTCCCACGGACCAGAGCCTCGGAGCCTTCTCCCGCGAACCCGGCAGGCGCCCTCTCCCCCGGCAGCCTTCTCCCGCGGACCCGGGAGGCGCCCTTTCCCACGGACCGGACCGGACCGGACCCCCTCCGCCCGCGTCCTTTTGTCTCCCGCCGATGTCACCGTGCCTCACCATCGCGGTCGCACAGCTGGATGGCCTCCAGGCTGAGGTTCTTGATCTCCTCACAGGGGCTGCTGGGGCTGCTGAGGGCATGGTCCAGGCGCGGCACCTCCATCTTCGCGACCCCGCGTCGAAGCCAGGCGCCGGCGGCCGGCGGGGCGAAGGGCGGGAAAGGCCTGAGACGGCTGAGGGGCGAGCAAAGCCTCCGGTCGGGAGTCGCGGCCCGAGGCGACGTAGACGGAGACGGCGGGTGGCGACAGCGACGGCGGCCGCAGGAGCTCCTCCGAGTGCGCGGCTCGGAGACTGAACGCCGGCCGGCGCGAGCGCGGGAGGAGCGCGCTCTCGGCTGGAGGGAGGGCCGCGCATGTGCACGCACGCACGCGCACGGGAGGGGGGAACTGGGGGTGGACGGGCCTACCTGCCCGCACACGGGCCCCGCCCCCTCCGCCTACCGCGCGCAGACCCGCCCCTGCCTGCCGCGCGCACGCGCCCTGAACAGATTCCGCACCTAGCCAGCAGAGCACACGCGCGCGCGCCCAAACCTGTCTCTCCCTGTGGCGCGCGCACCCGCGCCCACCTGCGGGCGCGCCGACCGTACCACGGGTCCTCGGCACGCGCGCGCATGCACGCGCGCCGGGCGGCCTCCCTCCGAGCCCCCCCCCCCCGTTCCCGCCTGCCGCGCGCACGCGCGCCCTCGGCTTCCCAGGCGTCGCAGCCCGCGCCGCCACGCTCTGGAAGCGAAGGACAGCGGAGCAAGCGCGCCACGGCGAGCGCGGGCCGTGGGAAGCTGCTCGGCGGGTCTGGCGCTCACTCGCCTGGCGATGGCGGCTTGGCTAGCTTTCACAATGCCAGGCAGAGCCGGACTGCCCACCCATGCTGCGACGAGGCGAGCGCGCGCGCAGGTTGGTTGTGGACCACAGATTGGGAAACTGAGGCCTGGGTCACTCAGGGTCCCTGTTCCCTGTCTAGCCCGGGTCTGCGCGCCTCACGAGGCCCTGCTGTGAGAAATGAGCCGCCACCTGAAGACTGCACGGGGCAGGGAGCGAGCACCGAGGTCGGTGCTGCCGGACAGGTGAGGCAGCGGGAAGCCTTTGGCTAGCTGCTGAGGAGGCAGCTTCCGGGTGACAGCCACTTGTCAGCCTACCTTCTCTGTCACTCATCTAAGGAACAAGTCTTCAGTGCTCTCCCTGGGCCGGGCATTGTTCTGGCTGCAAATGCAGGCAGAAGCACATCACCTGCTCTTTGTCACAATAGAAAACGACGAAGAGGGACCTGTGGTCCTCCAGGGATGCTATACTTGCATGCCCCGTTGCTTTTGGTGGCACCTGAAATATTGCAACACATTCATGACGAGGCAAAGGTTTTAAAAATAAAGTCGATATAGGCGACAGCCTCTTGGCCTCTGTTCCCATTTGCTGATTCGGAATACTTTTGTTTTTCTGGATATCACAGGATCTCCCCTTTATATTGTTTATTATTGGTAATTATATAAGTTCCCCGTTTCCTGATTTTTTTCCAGTTTCAAACATTGACATTCACCAATAAAAACAATTTACACGTAGATCTCTATATGCTACCTTTTCTGGTTACATCCGTTTAGCCATAAACGACTGTAGCTAATTAACTGAAGTCTCATAAAATGGAAGGGCCGCCTTAGATAAAATAAGCCCACGAGGAAGCCTGGCACAATTGCGAGTTGGTAATAAAAATCTGTGTAGGGTAATTTGGTATCCGTAAATGAAATGTCCTCATTATGACCTTAAAGGGCTTAATGAAGATGGATCTCTGTTTTGAAGTTTACAAAAACATTCCAGTATTAAGGTAGGAGAGTCCCTAAGGAGAGAGCAAATTACTACCTGCCAAGAGAAATGGCAAGACAGTAGTTATCGGATGAATTTCTCATGTTCAGAAGCCTGGCTCAGTAGAACTGGATATTGACAACCAAAGCACAGTGGGTTTGTCTTTCAGAGAATTCTCATATTTACAAATCACAAAGGGAACTGTAAACTACAGAAATAGTTTACTTGCAATCAAAAATCAAACATGCATTCATAAACTTTAATTCATACAATTATCACCTGGTATATTCAGGACAGTATAGTAGGTGGCGGGAATATATATAATATATCTCCCAATTGGGGACCATATTCAGTTGACTGTGAACAGGGCATCATGGGCAAAGAGAGTATACATACTTTATGTTCCTATCCCCAAGCTGTTGACATAGCTTAAAAGAGAGATGGTTTAGTTCGGTTTGGTTTCAGCATTGCCAGTCTATCGTGGTGGAGAAGATAGGTTCCAGCAATGGCAGCTAAGAAAGCGTAGAGAGTGGCGGGAAGCAGTCAAGGATAAAACACCTCCAAGGTCCTGTCTCCAGTGACCTGCTTCTCCACCCTGGTCTCACTTTGCAAGTTCTCCACGGTCTCCAAAATAGCATCACCAACTAGACCGAAAAATTGAAGCAGATTCAGATTATAACAGGGAAGGCAGCAGTTTTGCTTTCTGTGACTGCAAAAAAAAGTGTCTCAGTATTTAAAAAGTCACTGAGATCCAATAGAATGGCCATGAACCATCATATTAAGAACAAGGTACCTTTATCAAAAATCATGGCATTTACTTTTCGGGCCAGACATGTACCAAAGTACCAAAGATATGGATACTCTTCAGTCAGAAAGAGCCACCAGACAGAACTAAGAAATCGTAGGCTTAAATTGTAGTCGCCAACTTAAAGCAAACTACTAGGAGCAACTAGGAATAGAAGGGAATGCCATTATAGACATAAAAGTGGAAGTCAGCATCCTCTTCCAATAACCTTTCTTTCTGATATTCCCAGATATCATTTAAAGTAGGACATATCACTTATCTGCTTGCGGTGTTCGCTGCCACAGTCAAAGCTCCTACCTTTCGGGCCCAAGCCCAAAGTGTGCAGTTTCTGTAAATATGCTCCCCCATCAGTATCCTTGTTGGTTTATTTTCACAGTTGTTACTTCCAGTTCTCTTATAAAGACAACTAAGTTACCTGTGTTATAATTCATAAGCTAGTGTACATCAAGAATTGAATCAAATTTGAGAAGTCCCTCAGTCATATCCTAATCAGTACTTACCCAACATTGGAGCTTTTGACAGGAAGCTATCTATTTATAGTGATAAAGTCCTCATGCGCTAATCCAAACTCTTCTTTATTTTGAACACAAACATGCCTCCAAAAAGGGCCTTAATTTTTCCTCGTTTAGTATTTGTCATGTGACAGAACTTTTTCTAAGGAGATAAAACACACACATCTGCTTACCCTAGGCAGGGAATCCTCAACAAACCAAAGTTCGGATACCACCGAAGTCAACTTGGTGAACCAATGGGTTTTATTAGGGTTACTTACAAAAGTATGGGGGAGGGGTTACTTAGAGGAGCAGAAATGATTCAGGCAGCCATATCACTAAGACCCCGCCATCCCCCAGCATAAGTGATAGCTCACCAAAGCTGGGTAACCTGGAGCACACCGCACAGCCTGTAGGCAGCTCAGTAAGTGAGAAAGTATACTTTCCAAGTGACTGGTCCAAATCTCTTCCAGGCAGCTGGGCAGGTTTCTGATTCTTCCATGCAGCTGGTCTGCTCTTAGAGTAGTCTTTGCAGCTTTCCTCCTCTGAGAGCCTGATTTGTGGCTCAGGGGCCTTTGATCTGAAGGGGACTCTCAGCTTTTACTGCTTACTCTGGGAGGGAGGGAGGGCCTAGTGAATCTGGTAAGTTTCAGGGACTGAAACTATTCAAGCTACTTTTAGCTGTTTACCTTCCAGCTTAAGGTCCTTTCTGTAGCATGGAATGTAATCTTGGAGGAGAGTGTTAGGCAGCCATATTACAAGTAATAATTTTCCCTCTTGTCGTGTGTATTCAAACCCACAGCCGAACAGTTCCGCTTCCTTTGAACCTTTCTTCATTTGAGCTTAGCCGAAAGACAGAGAACCAATTCTTCTTTCAAATATTGCTGGTGTCACATCATCTTAGATATTTCTATCAATATAGAAAGTCGCCTTTGGAAGTTAAAATTCTTATCAATCCATATATAGTCATACTAAGTTTAAAATTCTAATAAAAAATATAAAGGAACACATCATAGTCTATAATGATCCATCTTTGCTCTATGTCAGACACCTTGTATGAGACATAATAAGATAAACCTTTCTGTCAGTTATAGTTAGCTGTTCATACAAGCTGACCTTGTAAGTACAGAAGAACTTATACTTCTCCCCAAATATTTTTATTTCCCTGGTGGCATAGTTTTAGGCACATATTGTTAGAGTGCTCCAAGTACCGAACTCCATACAATATACTAAATCATTAAATTCAATTGCAATACTTTGAATGTGCTTATTTTTATTACTTCAAATTGCCTCAGATTTTTTTTAAATCAAAGCCGAAGGAAAGAAGGCAACAGAACCTTTGTGGAGGCTAAATCTGTCTTTTATGATCCATATCAGGCACATCCTAATTCTCTATGCCTAGGTGAAAGTCAAGAGAGGACCAAAACCCTAGAAATAATCACAAAATACATAATAAACGAAGGCAGTGGTTTTCAAGTTTCTTCTTATGACATTGCTATAGCCTTTATTATGAACATCAGGACAAAAGAAAATTCGTGATTGATAGGAAGTTGAAAGCAATAAAATATACTAAATTAATTTGCCTTGAATCAAATAGTGTCTTGACTTATGAAGATCAAATGAGATAATGCAAATAATAATATAGTATGAACCATGAATAGAAAGTTAGAATATTGTTATGTTGGGAGACTTAGATTCTCATTTTTTAAAATGTAATAATTTTTGTAGTAAAAAAAAATTCTTGAACTAGCTCAGTAATCATTTTGAAACACCAAGAACATCTGCATTTGGATTAAATTTATGATTATCATGCCAAGGCTTTTAAGACAAGATGATGGTTCAACATATGCAAATTAGTTAATGCACAATATTAACATAATGAAGAATAAAAGTTGTATGATCATCAATAGATATAGGAAAACATTCAGTAATATTCAGCATCCTTTCACGTTTAAAAGGCCTTCAAAGTTTTAATTATACAAGGAATATACCTTGACAAAATAAAGGCCAGATGTCACAAATGCACCGGTAATATCAAATCAGTGAAAAGCTTTTTAGCTCTAAATCAGGACTAATGCTCATTCCACAAAGTGCTGGAAGTCTTTGTCAGAACAATTAGGTGGGGCAAAAACATCCACACAGGAAAGAAAAAAAAAACTAGGTTGTTTATTTACAGATGACTAAGTCTCATATATACAAACCTCCAAAAATGCCACAAAAATCAGAACAAATTCAGCAAAGTTACAAGATTAAAAAGTCAACGTGCAAGTTAGTTGTGTTTGTATATACTAATAAAGGATTCTCTAAAATGAAAAACAGTAAGAAATTTTATTTTCAGTAGCATCTGAAAGAATAAAAAGGGGTCTGGAAAGTTTGACTCATCCATTAAGGACTCCTACTACTCTTGCAGAGGACCAGAGTTCAGTCCTCAGAAACAACTCCAAGAATCCAGCACCCTTTCCTGGCCCACACAGCTACCTGAATTTGTGCACATACCCTCACATGCACATATGCACATAATAGAAGATAAGGTCATTAAGAAAATAAAATGCTTAGAAGACAAACTTAGCCAATGTTTTGGAAGGTCTGTAAAGTAATAACTGTCAAACATTGAATAAATAACTTTTAAATGGCATATAAAGGGAAGTTATCAATTTACATATATCTGAACAATAGCATCAAAATGTCTACAGTAACCAATATAGTGTACAGATTCAATGAAATTTCAAACAAAACTGTGTGACATTTTCCACAGAAACCCAACAAATCCTCTTTGATGTCAGGAAGCTATAAAATGTTTCAAAGAACTAAAACTTCTTTAACAAAAGCTACAAAACTGAAAATACCACACTTTATAATTTTAAGCTATATTAAAAAGCTGTTCTGATCAAAACATTAAGCTACTAGTATAAAAAGAGACCTGTTGACTAATGGAGCCAAATAGAAAATTAAGAATTTATACTAATGTGCATGAACTCCGTTTTTTATATTATTTACAAAGAATACATACTATAGAAAGGTTTCAATAAATGGGATTTTAAAAAAACCTGAATTTCTCTTATATAAAAAGAAAAATTGGACATTCCCTTATACCATACAGAAATTAATTCAAAATAGATTAAAGACTTAAACATAAGATCCAAAGCTATAAAAAGAAGAAAACATGAAGTAAACATTTGACAAAGATATTAAAAGTGGATTTTCAAATTTGACACAAAAATACAGGTATCAAAAAGTAGATGAAGACTGCATTAAAGTGGAAGGTATCTGCATAGCAAAATAAATAACACAGAGAAGCATCCTTAATGATGCAAAAAAAATTGTAGAACATATGTTTATAAACATTTAAGAATCCCACTAGCAAAATACAAACAACCCAATCAAAAAATGGACAAGAACATAAATAGACATTTTTCCAAAGTGGACGTCAAAAATACCTACAGATATAAGAAATTATATAAGATGCTCAACATCACTAATCATAGAAGTAAAAACCCACAATATCAGCTAACACAATTATTAAAAAGTTGAAAGAAAACAGTTATTAGCAAGCATATAGAATAAAGGAATACTTGTACCCCATTGTGGGAATGTAAATTGGTACAAGCACTATGGGAAAAGCAACACAGAGGCGTCTCAAGATAATAGGAGAAGAGTTACCCTATGGCTCAACAATTCCACCACTGGACATTATCTGAAAGCAAGAGTATCTTGTAAATATATTTGCATCCCCATGTTAGTTTACAGTATCATTCAAGGCTGAGATCTGGGGAGAGCTTGAACATCTATTGGTTGGTGAATATGTAATAAATTATTATTCACCTTTAGAAAGGAGATCCTACCATTTGTATGAACATGAATGGGTGCTGAGGGCACTATGCTAAATAAAGTAATCCAGATCCAGTACAACGAACACTGCAAGACCTCACTTATATGTGAAATTAAACAACAAGAATAACAACAAAAGCTAAAGTTAGTAGTAGAGTTTTGGTTATTTGTGATGGTAGAGGAAAAGAGAATATTGGTTGTGGATTTAAGTGAGTATTGGGACCTATGTATAAAACAGTGTTTGTAGATAACAGAAATGTGTGCCATAGTTGGAATTTGCCCCTACAGCAGATCACATATGCTCCCATGAAACATACACACACACAGCTGAAGCAAATGGCATGATAATAAGTTTGTGCTAATCATTTTTATAAATATTATATACTTACATATCTAAACATGATCAACATTAATTTTTATTTGTCAGTCATAACGCAATAGATCTATAAAGTTTTTAATTTCAAAAATGAAAGTAATATCCTGGGGCAGGGAATAAAGGTTGAAGTTCTAGCTCATTGCTCTCATGGATTCAATAGGATTAGTAAAACTTGCTACTTCTTCCCTCGTTTGTGCCCCGCCCAGTGTTTGTCATCACCTTACATTCTCCATCTCCAGCTTCTTTAGTCTCTTTCCATTCCCTCATCATACTTATGTCTCTGCCCACCATCAAATATCCTTAATTAAAAAAATAGCTTTGCTCGAACAAGTTACTATCCAGATTGTTATTATTTATTCCACTGTATATAAGAAACTCATCATAAACTGGGAAGCGCTGGAGAAGTGTTTTTTTTTTTTTAATCAACCCCATTTACCATTGGTCCTCATAAAACTTATCCCCAATCTATAGCTTTCTGATTCTTGTTCTTCCAAAGTCATTTCAATTTGGTAAGGGTTTTCAAAACACTAAAATATCAAGGCCTTCTTTCATCTGCACCCCCTTTGATAGTTCAGGATTTTATTTCTGCTGAACCTCTGTAGTGCTGACCTCTTCTCGATCTCTGCCTGCCTGTGAGCTTACCGCTTCTCAACTCTAGCCCCTGTTCTGTCCTCTTGGGGGTAGCTATTCTTTAAAGTCCGACCTTTGACTTTGTGTTCTTTCCTGGTTAAAGCTGTTTCCTTGAGGGATTCATGCATGCTCATGAATTTTAATCTCTTCTCCGTGCTTAATCTCCCACCTTTATTTTCAGATTCCTATTTCTGGCCCTCAGATCTAAACAAGGCATTGCCCTGTTTCCAGGTGTCTAACAAACATGTTTATGAACATTCTTGTCATCGTTACTAATTAATTATTTCTCCTCTGATTGGTTCGCTTTCTGATTTTTCTCCCTGATAGTCATCAGCATCATTTTTTCTATGTCCCCTGTTTAATCTGAGCCATTACTAAGATCAGTGAATGAGAACAGTTAACCGGTACTTCTTCTTCAGGATATTACAATGCTGCCACTTTCTGTCATGATGCTGAGATAGCTAGCATCAGGCAGTCATAAAACTGCAAAGTAGTGTTGAAGGTTAGTCTGTTTTATTCGATGAACAGAATGGAAGGAAACTAGAGACATAGAAAGATTATTACAGTTTAGGCAAAAATTTGAGGCATTATAGGTTAGGAATTATTATAATTAGGGTTGGGAAAAAACAATAGATAATGATAGTGACATTGCAGTATTATCTTTCCAAAATTGTCAAAAATATGAAAATTGTCAGTATTTTCTATAATAGTTTGCTTATTTTGTAATACTCATGTGTAGTACTATATATATATATAAAATGCCATAAGGAACAACAGTTGTATGATTCCCCAGTATTTAAAATCAAGTAGCTTTTTTCCAGTGATATAACAGTAGATTAAAAGTGTAAGCAAAATCTTTAGGTATTGTTATTCTAAGTTTACAAACAAATAAAGCCAAACAAAACTGGCCCATAGATCAGGTTGTCTTGAGCCATCACTAGTCAAAATTTAAAGGAGTTTTTGTTGATGGAGGGATTTTGGGATGAATGGAGTGGGGAAATGAAGTCTTCCTTAGGGATGAAACTGTTCCGTGTTTTCTTCTTCTCCTCAGTGGTCCTGCTCTTTCTTACTCATCATCTACTGCAGAACAGCATCTTATTCAAGGGCATCGACTTGACTAAGTTCCTTTTGAGAAATCTTGGAAAGAAAGTCTTCATGATGAGCAGAGGGGTGGGTAAGTATATAGTGTAATAAGTCATAATGTCATAATTTGCCTCAAATTACTTTTCTTGCCTTCACAAATATATTTATATAGGTTGTGCTTTGCCTTATGCTAATAGTGAAGTCATTTTGTTTCAGGGGATAAAGGAATGGCAGAATAGGGTCTTGACTTGTACTTCCTATGGTAGCACAGGCTGCCCACCAAGTGCTGGGATTATAGGTGTAAGCAATTTTGTTCTTACTGACAAATAGGACCTTTGGTATATTCTAACATAGTTCAAAACTGCTCCCCAGAACCACTGGTTTTGTGTCTCTTTAAATATAGCACAGAGGTGGCCTGGCAGCAGATCCTGCTTTGATTGTACTGTTGGAGCAGTGCAATATATGTCTTCTCTCTTAAAGACCCATTCGTATAAGGATGGCTAATTTAACAGTCACGTCTGGTCTGAAGACTTTGTAATATCTTTGTATACAAAACTATCATACCGTATTTAGGGGAAGTTCATTTGCCAGACCCTTTCTGAACTAGGCCTTCTTGAAAAGCCTAGAATTAAAAAGTGAAATTTTTTTAGGTAAGTAGAACTCAGCACACACACACACACACACACACACACACACACACACACACACATACACACACACATGGGGGTAGAGGAAAGGAGAGAGGGAGGGAGGAAGGAAGAAAGGGAGGGAGAGATTATTGACTGATGTGATGAAACAAAGATACTTTCCTATCAGGATTTTTTTCCTACTGCAAATTATCACTTTTATAATACAGATAAGTGAATATATACTTGTCAAGGTGAGATGTCAGTAGCTATTCATAGGAGGAACTTTAAGAAAGTGGAAAGAGTGAAGGGTATATAAATAGATGATTATTACCTTTTGCTGACAAGACACTCTGTTTGGGGAATACATAAACGAGTCATTATTGTTCCAGTATGTGTTTGTGTATATTGTGTAACATTCATAAAAGTGTTAAATTTTTCTCAAGATTGGTGAACTTTTTCTTTTGCTACCACCTTTCCTCAACATAAACCATATTCACACTAAGACAAGTTGCATGTGGGTATGTCTAACATGGGAAAACTGTTGCCTCTTGAAGTAGTGTGTTCTACTTTAAAGAAAAAACAAGCTAATCATCTTGTCATATTGAGTCAACATTTGATGACTTATCTTGGAGGCACAAGAACACTTAAATATTCTTATATCTATCTCTGTCTTTCTCTCTCTCTGTCAGTCTCCCTTTCCTCTTTTCCCTCTCCCATCCTTCTCTCCATCCATCCCTTCTCTCTATGTCTGAAAACTTCTCTTCTGACTTTCTTTTCTCTAGATGAATTCTTTGCAGATACTGCAGGCTGTCTCACGATTGTGTTTTTGTTGCTCTCTGAATGTGCTCTAGAGTTTCATGTGCTAAAGACACAATGTCTGGATCTGGGCACCATAAGTGGAGGTGGTCTGCTGCCTGTAGAGCAGCTTGCAGCCGTCTGAACTGTTTAATTACAAATGCTTTTCAGCTACTTACCAGTTTTTCCATATTCAAAGATTATCTTCAGTATTTGTCAGTCTGTGACTGTTCATATTCATAGTTGATAAAAATAGCTTTCTCATTCCACATAACAGTCTTCTGGAAGTTTTGTGTTCTAAGCTGAAAAAGTAATGCCAGCAGGTCTCACAGGCGATATTAGAGCTAATTATGCCTAACATATGAAGATTACATAAATGCTACAGTCTAGTTATATTTCATACAGTATCTTGATTATTCTATAGCTAAGACTTTTAAATCAGCCTATCAAGATTCTTTTTAGGACAAATGTCATATACCCACAAAGTATTACTGGCTATGCACATTTTGTGGGACAGATTCTGAGTTAATCCTCCATGCTATGGAAGGTGTTGACAGTCCATGAAATGCAGAAAAGAAGTCTCATTTCACATATTCATAGAGCAGGTCCCACAGACATCTGTGGATTTAGCTAATGCTACAGTCTAGATAAAGAAGACTATCCCATTGATCTCTCAGATGGTGCTTCTCTTACAATACAGTTTCACATTGAGTTTGATTTTCCTTTACAAAAATGTTGTGCAGTTTAAATAGTGATTTATCTGCCTCACAACACTGAGTTCTCAATAGTAGTACTTCTTCCTAAGACTGCGGAAGAGGAGGCTGACTGATATGAGTTCAGCCGAGTCCACTGTTTGCAAAGTTAGCTCCAGAGCAGACTGAACATAGTTCATGCTTGCCAAGCACTCCATTGCTAATTCTGTTGTCCTGGTTTCTGCTCCACATTAATTCCCCCTTTTATGGGTATATAATCGTCTATGGATAATTTTCTCATCTTTCATTTCTTGTTTGATAATAGCTAGGTAGATGTATTAAGGCAGGAAAAGAGAACAAAGTCAAACAGAAAGATACTCGTTGGTCTGCTGTAAGCTCCCAGGAGTCAGTTTATCCTGTCTCTCCCTTAAGGGCACCTTCACACGTGTGAAACCAAACAAGTGTTATTAAAGATCTACACCAGTGTGTCTCAGTCAGGTTTGTCTGGTGTCATGTGAACAGAACAAACCAAGCGTTTCACTTCTGTGTGCTTGTGTGATAGTTTTCCCATGTCTTGAAACCATCTAGGGCTTTGTAAAGCACAGCGTATGATGGCTTTGTTTCAAACCTCCATGTGCAGCAGTTGACGGTATAGTCACACCTGTGGGTAAGCAGCCATATCTGTACAAGCCAGAACCAAGGATTGATTTTTTTCCCCCTGACACCTCACAAGTAGGTAATATAGGTAATAGGGATGTGTTAAATTTGCTTCAAAGTTTCTATTTTGTGCTTTGTTTCTCACTCTTCAGGCCTGTGTGTTTTATACATACAATGGCTTCTAAGTGGAGATAGAAGATAAATTTATTGAAAATTTTATATGTCAAAGTTTTAAGATAATTTACAGCTTACAGTTCTACTCTAGAAACTTGGAACGTATCTATTTGCTATCCCTCAACCCACAAACCACAGAAACCTTCCCCTCTGCTCTACCTCCTTCTCTTTTCTCCTCTCTCATAGTTGGTAGGTAATGGGGAGAAAATCTGTCACTTCATGGCCTTGGCTTAAACACTAAAATCAACAAATGCACTCTCTACTTGTTTGAAAACAAAGTTTAACAAATGTCTTTAGTTCTTACGGCAAAGCACTAAGTGCTAAGAGACTGGCAAGTAGAAGACTTTATTCTGAGCCTGAATACCTGTGAGAGGGAATTTTACCTTCACGCAAACAACCTACTTCTCCTAGTTTGTTATATACTGAAAATATTGGTTTTTAGAAAGAAGGAGACCATAATTCAAATGAAAATGTATAGAATATGGCATCATGCCTTTGGTACACTCTTTTAAAAAATATTTCCATAGTACTGAGTTGTTTTAAGACAGTATAGTTGACTTGTCATTCTTAGTAAACATATACTTTGAGGGTATTGATTTAGGGAATTGCAAATAAGGAGAATGAGAGAAATAGAAGAACATTTCCCCCAAGTTATTTGTAAATATCGATGTTCCAGATTTTTAGAAGAATAGTACAACTTAGAGTAAGACAAAAAGTAGCAGGAGCTGCAGCAGAGGGAGTAACCATTTCTGCACAGGAACAAAAATGACAGATCAATTTCAGGTGGGGAAAGCTATCTGAATAAATACTCATCCCGAACACTGGAAGGACAGTAAGCTAAAGTGCCGTGATGCTGCTCTCTTGGCTGCACACTGCGCATGACTGCTGCTGAGTCAACCACTGAACTCTGGAAAGCAGTGGCAGTTCTCAACCTGTGGGTTGTGACCCCCAGAGGGGTCGCATATCAGATGTCCTGCATATCAGATATTTACATCAGGCTTCATAACAGGAGTAAAGTTACAGTTATGAAGTAGCAATGAAATAATTTTTTTGGTTGAGGGGATCACCATAACATGAGGAACCGTATTAGAGAATCGCAGCATTAGGAAGGTTGAGAACCACTGCTGGAAAGGGATATGGAAGTCATTCCCTGAGTGACCCAGACTGCCTTTTCTCCAGTGGAAGAATTGGGAAAGCTGCATTCTTTTATAAAAAGTATGCATGTTGTATATGCAGTGGCTTCTTAGAGTATGAGATGGGGTAGTAGACAATGTACCATCTTATTTAAGGAAAGACCTTGTGAGAGCAATAAAATACCTTCATATTATTTCTCAGATTAATTCTCTGCTATTTTATCTAACTATAAAATCACTCAAGTTGGTCTAAACATGCTGTTATTTGAAAATCTGGGTTTCTGAATATTGCTCCAATTCTGGTTGATTTTGAACGCATATCTATCATATAATTACTGCATTTTTCTTTACCTACATACACCTGTAATGAAATATCTTATATTAACTTTTCTATTTTTAACTTTAATGGGTTTTTCATCGAGACATGCCTGAATTTGTCTATGAGATTTTCAGTTACTTCTGTGTTAAGCTTTATGCTTATGAAATATGGAACAGTTTATATATCTTCTTTAATACATTATGATATTATAACATTATTTTCCAAGTAACTCATGTTTCCTTGCCTGAGTCATTCATTCTCCCAGACTTTGCTACCAAATCATCCCCCACACCTTATCCTGCTCTCTAGAGTGACGGTACAGTTCTTTAAATATAAGAATGTAGCTAAATAATTTCAATATGGTAACCTTTTTAACTGTTAAAAATACCTGAACATGAATTCTTTTTTTTCTAGTGGTAGATATTGGATCTAGGGCTTTCTATGTGCTAGGCATATACTCTACCACTGAGTTGTATCCACAGCTTTGTTTTAAACTCTTGTTATGTTTTTTTTTAAGACAGGATTTAACTAAGATACCCACGCTGGTCTTAAATTCCCTAGGTAGCCCAGGCAGTCCTTGAACTTGTGATTTCTTGCCTCAGCCTACATTTATGCACATGCACACGCACATACACACTAACATACAGTCAATCACACACACATGCACACACGTATGCACAGAGAGACACATA